AAGAGGAGCAAATGGAATGATTTGGATAACTATAGATTTTAAATCTCAAAATAAAATTAAATGATAGGATAGATCCCAATAAATCAGATATCCACTTATTTTCTCAGGCTTGTTTGATTCTACAAAAAATGCAACTGTAGACCTCATCCTACCACTCTCTGGCCTTAAAATTGCCACTGGATGAATTATATGTTTGAGGGTATTGCCTACAGTTCTGTTCTCTACTACCTTCTGCAGTTTTGTCTTTTTTCCTGTACTTTTCAAAATTTTTCAGATCTTCCACTAGCTCTCGGAATTCACATTTGTCTCTCCCTCTTCTCAGTATGTGTTCATCCATTCACACAAGCATGGCTATGTTCGTTATATCCAGGTACAGTAGTACACATGATCTGTACTCTTCATTTAAGAGAATTCTTGTATCTTGGCACAAATGAGGAACTAATACAGGTACAGAGAGTCTCAAAAACTTCTGACACCATGGACACAGATACTAAGTATCTGTGGACACAAATACTAAGGAATGTGTGAATGCCCCTTTTCTTATGCTCTACAACTCCAAATAGAGAAAAAGTTTGACTTTTCTCCCTTCTCAAATTCTATTTTCCCTCTTAATTTAGAATGTTTCAAATGCTGTTCCAAATCATTTGCAACCAAATATTGCTAAGGATTGGATTCATACCCCCCATGGCTTATTTTGGCAATTTTTCATGTAGTTAACAAACAAATGACAATTTCTCAATCCCTAGAGGGTACCATCACAATCACATGTCCTGACATATTCTTAATTTTGTATCTATGGACATTCCAGAAATTGCACCAGTCTTTTGACAATAATGAAATCCTATATAATTTTGCCTTGATCTGTGCAGGGCAGTGGTTTCTACTCATGGGTCCAGATGTTATTGGACTTCACTTCCCAGAAGTGAACAATGTGTAAAACTGTGGAGAAAATAACACACCACAAAGTGGTTAGAAGCAGAACCTGCGACTGTGGTAGGGAAAAAAAAGGGAAAACCTGTGATCTACATTTTCACATTGGATAAAGATGTACCATATTTATTTATTTATTTAGTAACTAGTGGTATAAGTTAAGGAACATACAGGTGCTTGGGATTTTTGTACCCTCTTGGCAACCACTTTCAGTAAGAATGCTGCAGGCTGCTCTCTGCTCAGCCTATGCTTTAGTGGTCCTTGGAGGACAAGGGTTGTAGATTTAGGGCCCTTTGCCCCTAAAGCATGATGATCCCACTTTTAACTGCCAGAGCTGCATCCTATGTAATTCTGGTGTTTGTAGTTTTGGTGTGGCAATGGGGCTCTCTGGCTGAGAATTCTAAATACCTCTGTAAAAACTAGATTTGGCCAATGAAGACAAGAGGCATTTTGTTTTGAAAAAAATACTAAAATTTGCAATTTTATCCACATTTAGAATAGAAAATATGCAATTGATTGAGGTTTTAAAACTTTGTGTTAAAAAGTAGAACTGAGATGTACAGTCATTTCTGCAGCAGCTCTGATTTTTTCCTCTTGTGTCAAATGTGTTGTTACACAAACAGAAGACCATAACTGAATGCAGTTGTACTCCTTCCATGCAATATTACAGTGGGAAATGTAAAGCAGCCTTCTTTGTATGAAATGATATCTTTGAATCCAACCTTTAATATCAAGAAAAATAGTCTAGTAGGCAGGATCTCTCTGCAGCCCTTGTTATACTGTATTTCTCTCAGGGAGGGTTGCATCTAATAGCCACCATCCAAGCTGTCTTCCTGACTTTCTGTTTATAAATCATTTTACTACATTCAGGGTGCTTCAAAGTGATGTACATCTTAATACAATAGATAAAACTACAAAAGAATAAGAGCAGAACTAAGACATTATTTTAAACTAGTTGATATTTGAATTGAAAATATCAATTCAAAACTGAAACCCATGTCAGAGTATTGATGGGCTATACAGTCAATGGTGAAATGTAAAGATGTATGTGTCTGTAATTTTCCATTTGAGAACATGCTTCTAGGCCAAACACAACAACTCAGTCCAGGTGGCCAGAAAGACAAAACAAGAGGAAACCACTAGATGGGAAAGTGTTCTTGTTTACACAAGGGAACAATAATAAAAGTTGTTGTGAGAAAGTAGATCACATGATGGAAGATGAACAACAAGAGGTTGGGTTAGCATACGTCACATACAGAACATCCAATCAACTTGTAGATTAACACCCAAAAGGTGGAGAAGGGCTGGGCTGAGAAACTGTGTGTTGGGCATTGATGTTTATTATGCTTTTGAACTTTCATTGGAATGGATTAAGTTTTTCTCTTTACTTTGTAATGGATGTATAGTATGCTTTTACTGCTTCACAATGTAGCCTTAAGATCTGCAAATATGGATCTGTAGTTTTGTTCCTGTTTAACCACATCTGCAAGATGTGATGCTTTAGTGGACTTTGTTTTTTACTCTGCATATTTTTCTACAATAAAACTCACTGCTAGAAGCTTGGATGTTTTGCATCTTCACTCTGCTGGACTTACAAAAACCCCACCCCTCCAAAACCGAACAAGACTGGGGAAACCAATGCAGTTTTTGGAGATTAGCGCATTGGCTTTAAAGTGCCTTATCCCAGATGGGATAAAGGCACATTTAATTCTCAAAATGGGTGTTATTGCATTCACCCACGCTTGGGTGAATGCAGCCTGTATACAGCCCAGATGCTAGCTGGGCTTATCCTGTGCGTTTTCAAAAATGGGACCTTAAAAACTTAAACCATTACACCATGCTGGCTCAACTTTTTCTATATTCTGATCCAGACTTCATCATACTGCTCTTTGGTATTGCCTGACACTGAAATCTAACTTGGGATCTTCTTTTCTGACACTCCAGTCAGCATGAACAGAAGTAGCTACACTTGAAAGTGTTTTTATAGTTTTGGAAAGTGAGGGTGATCTCGCTAAATGATAGAACAGGAATATTCCATGACTCTAATACTGGCTTGTGCTTTCTTTTGGCATTTGAGGAGATGACAAGATAAAATAACAATGTGTCCTGTGACATTCACATTTTAAAAAGTTACTTAATGTATCAATTTTTCATTTTTAATGAACATATGTTACTTTTTAATGTAAGCATGAAGGCAGATAACTACCACAGAACTATAACTGTAATTAATTACTTTTAAAAGCATGATTTCTGATTTTATTTTGGACAAAGAGAATGAATGAGTACAGCAACTGGATGTGTCGTAAACTGTCTTATTGAGCTCAATGCTATCAACACTGATCGGCAGCAATGTTCTTCTAAGCACAAAGTGAACCTGAGACTCTGAATTTAGAGTATGAGCTCTGCCAATGTACAATCCTTCCATGATG